CTGTGTCTACCCGCGCAGAACTGGTGCGCCAAGTGCAACGCCTCTTTCCGCATGACCTCCGACCTGGTGTACCACATGCGGTCTCATCACAAAAAGGAGTATGCCATGGAGCCCCTGGTGAAGCGGCGGCGGGAGGAGAAACTCAAGTGCCCCATTTGCAACGAGTCCTTCAGGGAGCGTCACCACCTCTCCAGGCACATGACCTCGCATAATTGATGTGGAAAGGACCCCGGCTTTCCACACGTGTGCACGCACAGTCAAGCCACCTGCAGGAACAGACGTGCGAGGACATTCACCACTTCCTTATGTTTCCCCCCACCCCCAAACACTGCAACCAAACACGTACACACACTGGTCCCTCCCCTGGCCAGAAGCCTCATCATTCAAATGTTTAACTTGGGACACAAACACACACACCCACACACACACACACACACACACACACGATGGTGGATTTTGGATTGGGTGGGTTGTTTGCGGGGGATTTTCTTTTGAATGCACGGATTTTCACTTTCCAAAAACAAAAACAAAAACAAAGGTACATTTTAAAAAATGTCATATATTGCAACATATTGATGCATTTGTCATACCTTTCTACTTAAATTATTAAGCACTTATGGTTTAGATGTAATAATTATATGTAAGGACAAATTTTATTTTAGATATAAAGTAATGGAGGAAGGTGAGATGTGTTTTGCATTTCCTGATGACAGCTGTGTTCTTACAAAAATAAACAAAATGAATAAAAAGGGGGTCACCATTCAGTTTATGTTTCCAGGGGGAAGTGCATGTATCAAGAAATGATTATGGACTTCAATGAAGAATGTCATCAATTATGTAAATATGTACTTCCTTTTAATACAAAGTGTAATTTTGTGCCAGTGAAATGGAGTCTGAATAGTTACGTGTTTCCTTTATCCCTAAGAGATTTATTAAACTTTATAGTTTATCCAGGTATGTTGGATGCTTTGACAATAAATAACTATTTTCTTCAAAGCAAATATTTGGAAAGTTTTAAAAATTTTTTGTAGGTCAGTATACTTTTGGGTAGTTAATGTATCTTCATTGATTCCTTGAAAAGAAGGGAAGAGATAGTATCCATGAGGGGACACAAGCCTCACTTATTTATTAAAAGTCAGTTTTGAGCCTAAAACAAGAGTGTTGATTGTTACTTGAAAGTTCTTTAGTTGAAAAGTGTTAGGATGAGTGATCCAGCACAAACCACTTAGACAGCACTTTGAGCCTATCATGATATTGTCAGCATCCCTTCCAGAAGGAAGATAATTATTTTCAACATGTGACTAATTTTTGGACAGCATCTGGAAGAACAGATTTAAAAAAAAAAACAAAACCTGCTTTAGGATCTACTAGTGAGCTTCTTCCACCATGGGATATCCTACATTCTAGAAATTTCAGCTTCCTATATATACATATATATATATATATATATATCTGTCATCTTCCAGTACTGTCAACATTTCTTAGAGAACATCTGCGTCTGTGTTTGTGGCGTGCACTGTAGCTTCTAGACTAAACACTGAATGGCTAGTGTTCCTTCCTGGGCAGCATGCTCACACCCCAGGGACCCAGGGGCCCAGGGGCAGACTTTCCCCAGAGGTTGAGCATCAACCCCCCAAACACACACACTTTTACATTCTGTTGACTTCCCCCTTATGTCTGAAGGATATGTGTGGATAGGCTCCTAATGGGAACTTCACACAAGGTCTCTCTTGAAAGGCTTTCCAATAACTTGCCCTAAAGGGTTTTGAAGCCTTCAATGTTTTAAGACCACCAGACAGCAAGTTGCATTAGAGTAAAGAACCTGTAAAGAGTAGGGGTAGTCAGATTAGTAAATTTATTCAGGGAGAGTGAACTAGTTTTGGGGGAAAAAAAAAACTGACTGGCTTCCTTGGATTCATTCAAATCCTATTTTGCTAAGATATTTCTTTGAGGCCTGCTTTCATTTTCCCACAAAGCCGTTTGATGTTACAGTCAATTAGCTCAAGAGATAGGGAAAAAGAATGGTACAAAATTTACCAGTACTGCCTCTGCTAATTTTGCCTAGTGTTACCCTGTATCTTTATTCACATTATTTGGCATACCTGATGTGAATTTATTTATGTCATCTGAAAACCAGTATTGCATGATCTGGTGTCTTTAAAGTACTTCTAGCACTCAAGAAAGGTTTTGTGTTTTGTTTCCCGGGAAACCAAACAGTTGAACCTAAAGAGAGATTTCTAGAAAAAGACCAAGATTAGTTGTGCAGAAAATGTAATATCAAGAACAGAGGATGCTATTTAGGTGTGAATAGAACATAGTCCTTACTTGTAGCATCTGACAGATTAAACTATCTGTGCTGAGGAAACTACTGTGTCACTGGAACAAAAATCCACTGAAAACCAGCACATGCAGGACGTCTTGGCAACCAAGTTTAAGAGGAAAACAAATGCTTGAATTATTTTTCCTATTCTTTCCGATCCTTCTGGACACCCCCTCCCCACTTTAACCTAAACAGCTTTGTTATGGGTGGAGATTCAGAATGAGTTGTCTGGAAAAGTTAAGCAAATACTGCTCCTGGAAAGGGTCTCTGAAGAACACATGCAGACTTGACAGTCCCTTCCTTATTCTCTTTGGTTTGGTCATTGTCTTACACTATCAAACAGAGAGCTGCCAGAGAGCTGCCGATGACTGTGCTATTGCCTATGCGATGCAGGTAGGCAGACACTTTAGTGCGGGGTTGGTTGTGCTGAGCCCTCTGTGTACAGGCCGTTTTGGCAGGAGGTAGTAAAGGAAGGATCCCCAAAGCTAGTTTTACCCTCATCCCAGGCAAACTCAGTAGTGTTTTCTTTTAACGCGGCAATGTCAGTCTTACTGCAATCCTTTCCCGCATTCAAACCCCAGAGGAGAGTTTCTAGAATTCAGTCTCTCCTAGCTGAGATCATTGGGTGAAGCTCAGTTAATGCCTCCACACAGCTGCGGAGGAAATAAGGTCACAGGGCCCCAAGACAAGCTGGTTCCACAAATTGCATGCCAGGTGTCCCAAGCTTCCAGGCCTCACAGGTGGCTTGAGCTCTGAATGCCCTGCTGGAAAAAAGGCAGGTCACGAAGCCAGCCAGTTACTTCCCAGCATTTGCTGTGTCCCAGTCACTGGAATAATGCCTAGAAATGATTCGACATCTGGGGTCTGAGAGTCCTTCATTCGTCTCTTTCTCCAGGCATTTGCAGGTGGAGGAGCCCATATGTTACAGGGCGTCTTTATGGGGGTGCAGCGGGCACCCACAGGCCTGCACAACAGGGGAGGGAGACAGGAAGCGACACTTGTATATCTGTTGGGATGTGCAGCACGGGAGAGTTAATTCCGAATCTCATCTGGGAAAGTGCCCAGCTCCTAGCAGCCTTGACTCAGCAGCCCTCAAACACCTGGAGCCTAGAGTGTGTGACAGCCTCTGTAGGGCCGGCAGGGACTTGTGGCTGTGGTCTCGTATGGAGTCCAAATTGCGTGATGGGTCGTGTACAGGACCTCTGAACGATGGCTTCCTGTTCGCGTTAAACTTGTCCCTGACAGCTTACTTACCTCAGTAGACGGTTTGCCAGTGAATGTGACCTCTAATGGAAAATTGTTGAACAAGCAAGTACTAGAAGCGTCCAGAAAAAGGGCAGGAAAATGTCCTATCTCATCCTGCCCCTTCCAGTCCTGCAGTTGCCTCACATCCAAGTCCATTAATTCCACCCCACCCCTACCCACCCCATCTTCTCTGTTCTGAGGACTGAGGACACTGAGCAACCAACCTCACCTGAGGCCCGGTGTTGGGGGTGGGTTTCAAGTCTTTCATTGTTTCTATTTCTCAGTCTCCATAGGTCAGGTTCACTCCCCTGCCCAACACATGCTGTAGGTATCATGGCTGGGGCCCCGCCCTGGACCTGGCTTAGCCCTCCTTTCATGCCCAACACCCAGTTAAAAGGCTAGCATCTGCCCAAGACGAGGGTGGGAAGGGGAAACGGGTTGGGGCGGTTGCTTTCCCCTCTTTCTTCCTAGGTGGCTCAAGCTCAGGTTCTGGAATTAATAGAGCTGATTCTATGATATCTCCTGCTTTCCTTGCCCTGATCTCCTCCTCACTGCCATGGCCTGTTTCCTAAACTCTGTGGAGGTTTTCCTTCTTAGGCTCATAAGGAAAGTCCCCTTGGAAGTTTTGCCCTTCAGGCAATTGGCACCAGTACTAAACCTGAAGAGAGGGACTATTCCTCCAACACACACACACACACACACACACACACACACACACACACACTTGACATCTTACAGAGCACAGCTTCCCCCTTTCCCCACTGTAGACAGACAGTGAAGAACTTCACAGAATTATGTCTGGTCTACAGAATTTCTGGATGATAAAACTCAAGGCAACAGTCTTTACAAAATGTTTCTCTTTCTATTTCCTATTAGGCTGTCCAGCTTGAAATACTGTACTTCCTGTCGATTACATAGGTGTCCTCTTCCAAATTGTGTATATACTAGAACATCCATGTAAGTTGCACACATGTCCACCTATATGTAAACATGTGCATTTAGTATACATGCAAAATCAACATATAAATTTAAAACATACTCAAGCACATAACAAGTGGGAATTATTTAAAATATTTTCCCTGTATTGACTTTGTTTAATCCTCACTACCTACTGAAGAGGATAGCAACAAAGCAGCCCATTCCCTTGTGTCTCAGCATGGTTATCATGGCTGTCACTCTGGAAGAGAAAGGTAAATATTTAATTTTCCATAATATAAAGAATAGTGGATCATCCGTCAGTAGACCTGCTCCAAAATCATGGCCTAGCTGTTTATGCTTCCTTTCTAGAAGATGTGAGTAATGTCACCTGTGGACTTATCCCATAATAATGTCTTGAATATTAAATATAGCCATATATGTAGAAGTCTGCCATCCTATTGCATAATGGACATTGCTCTTGGTGGACAGGATAGACTTATTCTTTCCTTATTCATCCTCCTTAGTTGGTTAAGATGCTCTAATATTGTTATGAGAAGTCTTTTGTGGCCTTACCTTTCTTTAATGGTCTTTGCTCATTTTAAGCCATAGGTGAAAGTGATCACTGGCTGATTCTGGAGATGTATGTATACCATATTTGGACTTCTAGTGTCAAGCTTACATGAGGGCCACTGAGGTGCAGGAAACTGAGACATAAAATCAAGCCAAGCCCTGGTCCATTCATTTGTAGTTTTAGTTGGCTTAGTGGCAACGGTACTAAATTGTAAGTATAGTGAATTTCTGGGGTTTATAAATGATAAGCCACCATGATCGTAAGGATAAAAGGGACCATAAGAAGAATCTGAGCTATAAGGTTTCCTGTCATAGACAGCGTGACCAGAAGGTAGAAAAATAGATTATTCCTCCTCCTAGCTGCTAGGTGACAAATATCACCTTGCTTGGGAAGCCCTGCTGTGTTCAGTACTTTAGAAAATGCTTCCCCCTGCAGATCATGATGCCCCAGGAGCTGGTACCCATTCATCAGTAAACATCATGGAAAGGATCCCTGGTTCCTGTTTAAGCTTTTCAGTATTATCTTATATTGTTAATATTTTCAATATTTAAAGATGCACTTTGAGCTACAGGACTCTGCATTTATTATAAGTTACTCTATTACTTTAAAAAAAGAGGAAGCCTGAAAACACATACCATATCTTCTCTTTCTTCCTGTTCTTTAGGGCACAGATTATTGGTTGAGATAGTAAGATATTTTGTAAACTGAGACAGTAGACATATAAAATTTGTCAGAAAAAAAGTCATGAAATGAAAGTAGCTAACTCTGTCAGTTCTTTGTTTCTTCATTTCTCCCCAAAATGCTCAGTCACCAACTCTAGATGCTTCCCCCACTCCCATCTCCTGGATTTCAGAAGAGCAATGCACACATCACATCTATCCGTCTATCCTTGGTGGAGGGTTCCATGTGTGGATTCTTTCCAAGGCTGAAATCTGGGCCAGTGCACTAGCACTACACCTTTTCTCTGAGGTCATCTCTGGACAGCTGTTGCCAGTGTTACAAAATTGCAAATTTCTTGTGTAACTCAAGTAGCCTTTTCTGTTTTGTTCTGCT